TATCGCTGCCCCCCACAGTTCCTGATATTTACTCCAGACATTGGGAAAGCAGTGCCCAATTTTGTGGGCAGGGACCTGGAGGTCCTACTGAATGCAGTGGTGCACAGGTGGGACTTCCTCTTCGTTTCTGCAGTGGAGGCCATGACAGCAGACCATGCCAGACTGGTCCAAGGTTGCCATTTGGGTTAAAGCTGCCCAGTCATCTGGAGGAATGTCTGGCATTGAAGGAAGAAGGTCAATGACATTCTCAGCTCTGCCAGTGTAAGTGCCATCATCTTCTCTCAGATACCTCACATCACTAATTCTATCTCTGCTACTGTACCCACCTCCTATCAAGGCTCATGCTCTACCACTTCCACTCTTTTTCCAACTCATCTCCACCTACCCCAACCTGCAACACCAGATATGTGCAAATTAAATTATATTTGATGCTGGGTTAGTTTAAGAATGAATTTACATCTGTGCAATGTCTTTCATAATCTTACAATATCACAAAGAAGCCAAAGAATTGTTATATTTTGGAGTGCAATCAATTTTGAATGGAAATTGTAACGTGACCAATACACATTTACACATTAAAAATAAGAGCTGGAGTTGGCCATTCAACTTTTTGAATATGCTCTGCCATTCAAAATGATCATGGATGATCAACAATTCAGTATCCTATTCTGGCTTTCTCCCCATAGCCATTAGCTCCAACAATTATATCTAACTCCTTGATGAAAATGTTGAATTTTTTTGGTCGCAACCACTTTCTGTGGCAGAGAATGGTACAGGCTCACCATAGAGTCATAGATAGAGTCATAGAGCTGTACAGCATGGAAACAGACCCTTCAGTCCGACTCGTCCATGCCGACCAGATATCCAATATAAATCTAGTCACATTTGCCAGCATTTGGTCCATGTCCCTCTAAACCCTTCCTATTCATTTAACCCATCTGGGTGCCTTTTAAATGTTGTAATTGTACCAGCTTCCACCACTTCTTCTGGCAGCTCATTCCATACATGCATCACCCTCTGCATGAAAATGTAGCCCCTTAGGTCCCTTTTAAATCTTTCCTTTCTCACCTTAAACCTATGCCCTTTGGTTTTGGACTTTCCCACCTGGGGAAAATACCTTGACCATTCTTCCTATCCATGCCCCTCATGATTTTATAAACTTCAATAAGGTCACCCCTCAGCCTCTGATGCTCCAGGGAAAATAGCCCCAGCCTATTCAGCCTCTGATCAAACCCTCCAAACCTGGCAACATCCTTATAAATCTTTTCTGAACCCTTTCAAGTTTAACAACATCTTTTCTATAGCAGGGAGACCAGAATTGAAAGCAGTATTCCAGAAGTGGCCTAACCAATGTCCTGTACAGCTGCAACATGATGAAGTGAAGAAATTTCTCTTCATCTCAATCCTAAATGCCTATCCTTATCCTTAGTCTGTGACCCCTGGTCTGGTTTCTCTGGTCATCAGGAACATCTTTCCTGCATTTGCCCTGTCTAATCCTCTTAGAATTTTATAGGTTTCTAGGAGATTTCCCCTCATTCTTCTAAACTCCTGTGAAGATGTTCCTAACTGATCCATGTCCTGCAAAAATGATCAGTGACACCATGTGTATATATACACACATACACACATGTATATATATATAAAATATATAAAGGTAGATATATACAAAGGCATGTACATTTATTGGCTCTGGTTGCAAATTTTATTCATTTCTTATGTCGTTTACAGTTAACTGAGAAAAGACAGGTATCTTAGAAATATGGGGCGGGGGGTAGAATATACCCAGGTGTTTACAGTGATTCCAGGTGCTAGCACTGTGTTTCAGAGATAGCAGCCAGGGAGAAGGCTCTGAACTTTTAATTCCAGCTGCAGAGCTATAAAATGAGCCAGATGAATAAAGTGACAAGCATATCAAACAAACACATTAAAAATGTCAAATATAGCAATTTTTTTCACACCTATACGTGATTGCTCCTTTAGGCCTTTCTCTGTCGTAAACAATTGCATTGTCCCTGTTTCTGCCATAAAATTGGTCAGTCTGTGGTCTGGAAATGAAAAGTGTCACAGACTTTGATATTAATGCAATAAATAAATATAGCATAATATTTACAAATCCTAATGACAAAATTTCCAAGTTCAAAAGAGAAAGAAAATTTGAAGGAGGTGTATGAAGGCTGGCTAATCTAATACAGCTTATTTTACACAGAAGTAAAAAAATTCAACCCCGTGATGTAGCTGTTAATTTTTGGATGGAGCATATACAGCCCCCTATTCAGGGTCAGCAACCAGCCCAATATTGATGGAAATAGTGGTAACATTGCTGGATTAGTAGTGTGGAGGTCTAAACTCTGGAAATCCAAGCATGGCATTCTGCTGAAATATAAATTCAATTAATAAACCTAGTTGAAGGTTAGTGCTAGTAACGGTGACTATGAAACTATTGTTACTTGTTGTAACCCATTTGGTTCACTAATGTCTTCAGCAGAAAAATCTGCCATGTAGCTGCAGGTCATAAGAATGTGGTTCACCCTTAACTTCCTTTTGAAATAGCCTCGCCAGTCATTCAATTGAAGGCAATTCAATGGACACGAAATGCTTGCCTTGATGGTAATGTTTATGTTGCATAAAATAATAGGTGATATTGAGTGGCACAGAAGCCCCTTATTAGACAGCAAGGTAAGTATAAGAGGGGAGGGATTCAGGATTACAAAGAAAGAAAGTCAGGGCTGAAGTGGTCCATATTATTTTTGTAGGGCCTGAGCTGCTCTGCACTAGCTTCTAAACCTACGATTGAACTAGTTTACAAGGATCAGCTACTCCCTTTCCAATTAGTCCTATACTAAAATGGCAATTAAATACATAAGATCCTAATATACAATGTAAATGCACAGTGATAGTTCCATGTACAACTGATAGTGAACTAGTAATCACCATTAATGGGACCATTAGTCTACCTATCCCACTTTGAGGCCTGTATTGCCCCTTCAAAGTCAATCTTGGCAAATTAAAATTGACTCTTTTGTGCATCTTAAATAGAAGTCTGAATGACCTTTAGGGGGTGCTGTTTGTATTTTTTTATAAAGAGGCATTCTTTCATTCATCTATATTAGCAAGGTTTCAAACTGAATACATTCTTAGCAATCTTTTATTATTTCTTTCATCCAGTGTTCTCCCTGTATGTCTTTTTTTATGAACAGTTCATGGGTGTTCCCAAACCTCTAATAGGATTACTACATACTTTATGTAGATGTACATCATTAAACATTGGATTATCAGTGTCCTTAATCCTGTATTATAAGTGATATCAAAACACACACTTTCAATAGGGATCACTACATAGGAAGAGACACTGAGGCCACTTAACTCAACAAAGCCCAAAGTTAAACGGGCTTTATACTACACCACATTCATTTACCAATAAGGTATCTGAAATGTATCTGTTCTGTTTTATACAGTAATTTGACATTATCATAAGTGAGTTCATCTAATGTCTGAATTGACTTTCCAAACCCGTGACCCAACCGCCTAGAAAGACAAGGGCAGGAGGTGGACAGGAACAGCACCAGGTGCAGGTTCCCCTGACAGCCACACGTCATCTTAATTTCCTTAGCATAAATCCTGGAACTCCTTATCAAGTATAAATCTGGGTCACTGAAGCCCAACAGTGTGCAGCCCATAACTTCCACCTTTACACATGGGCAATAAATGCGGGTCTTATCAGTGACATTTATATCACATGAATGAATAAAGTAAAAATTAATAAGTGGCTTCATACAAACTTGGAACCAGTAATGTCATAGGTGTGATTTCCAGGAGTGCTGAGTAATTAATTCCAATCGGTTTGAACACTAAACCATAGCCACATTACTAATGAACCATGGAGAGTAAAACTTGTGATTGCTATCCAGTGACTCCTGCTTGAAAGTCTGAATACCAAGTGAGTAGTCTTAATAATGATGGTGGTCACAGGTGAATTATTCACTGTCTTGGCTTTCACATTGGTGATGGGCTACTGTAACCAGCCCTTCCTGGGGACGTTTCTGTCTGTATGGTATACCAGTAACTATAACCCGCAATAACCATATCTCAGTTTTCACCTCTGGAGCACAGTGAGTCGTGACAACAAATATGATGCCCCAAATGATACAAAAACCCAAAAGAACAATGAGGAATCAAACCAAATTAAATATTTTGTTCCAAAACTTCAATGCAGAAAATTTAATCTCTTTTACCTATACTAGTGTTTTGTGTAGGACAGTCATAATGTCCCTGTCCCTGAGCCAGAAGGTCTGGGTGCAAGTCTTACCTGCTCCAGTAATGTGTAATAACATCTCTGAACAGGCTGATTTGGAAAATAAACTAATGTTGCTCTTTAGAAATTGCTGACTATCACAGGTGTGGCTAGTCTGCAACTGTAGATTTTGTAGAAAACATTTTCATGCACTCACTAATTGGAGTGTTTTTCACTGATCAATTTCAGTGTCTGAATAGGTTGGACTGAGAGATGCTGAATTTTCACTTAAGGCCTGATTATCATTGAGTTGGAGGTCCAATTCTTACCTTCACAATCGTTATATGGCAATTACTGAAAGTAAGGCTTAATGGTAAAATGACAAATGGTGAGAAACAGTGTTCAAAAAGGATTAGTGCCGTGTTCTTTGTTGTTCATAATTTACGTAAATTATTTGGATTTGTGAAACATGAAGTAAAATTTCAAAATTCTGGGTGACATCAAATTGGGGCTGTAGTTAACACCATGTTGAACTACAATTAAAGTAAGGACTTTGTATAGGACCTTGGTTAGCCTAGAATTGAAATACTATGAATGGTTCTGCTGTATATGTTATAAAAAGAACATGGAAGCATTAGAAAAATCAAAAAATACTACTAGAATGATATGAGAATTGAGATGTTATACCTGTTGTATAAGGTAGTTGATAAGAAGTCCAGTCCTGAAGAGGGGTAATACCTGTAACGTTGACTGCTCCTTTCCTCCAGGTGCTGCCTGGCCTGCTATGTTCTTCCAGCCTCCTGTTTGTCAACCTTGGATTCCAGAATCTGCAGTTTTTTTGTTTCTGAGTGGATAAGAAAGCATTAATCCATGAACTAGGCTGAAGCATTGCCCACGCTGATATGAAACACAGCCACTGGGTGGAGCATTGGGTAGTCTTGGGCAGTTACAGGTATGTTTTCTACTAATCATATTATTATCAATACAAGAAACACGTATGTAGATACTAAGATGTAATAAACCTAATTTTACTATCAAGGACAAGAGCCTCTTCTGCCGAGATTTATTTGAGGTTCATCCTTCTCCAGTGCTTGGAAAGCCCTTAGACTAGCACTGGAAGAAGGATTGGAAGTACCATTCTACATAGTATACTCAGACCTTACCATCATGACTACAATACGGTAGCGCAGTGAGAATCTGACACTCAGCACCAAGACAGCAACAGTGAGAAGAATCCAAACAGAAAGGAAATGAGAAAATTCTGCAAAAAAGTGATTTCTATTTTCAGTGCATTCACATTTAAGGAAGGAGCAGCTAGTCAGTAAACAGCTTAAGAGCGCCAGCACAGGTTTGTGGAAACTGGAACAGCTGGTTGCCGCACTCTGAGATGGAAAAGCAGTTAGACGTGGGGAAAAGAGTACTAAAAAAGCCAGTGTGTATTACAGATAGTCATGCGTGGGCAGTAAGGGAGTAGATCTGAGCTGTAGATCTGTAGTCTGGGAGAGAAGCAGACAACATCAGGCTCCATCTGTAAGTTAAGTTCCTAAAGGACAGGGTTAAAAAAAACAGAACTGTAGGGTGCAATGTTGGTCTGGGAAGCTGAAGAAAAAGGGTGATAAGTGGTGCTTAGCATTAAAATGAGCAATACTATTGTTACAAAGAAAATATAACAAGATGCACAGAAAATGTTAAAAATGCAACTGTAATTTTTAATTCAAACTGTCAACATTGGGAGCAAAGTTAAAAGCAGTCATAGGTAAAAGATAAATTTAACCTATATAAACAAATTACAGGCAAGAAATTATGTGAAGGGTGACAAGAGTCAGTCTAATTGTAGATTCTTAATAATGATAATGTCAATAATTTTTTCAGATGAAATTATTTCAAAATGGCATGTTGTGCATCTTTTATCAGGAAAGTAGTGGGTGAGAGGCAAAAATCGTCTCAACAAGACAGGGAAAGGATGTAAATTGTCCATTTTGATGAAATTTACCTAGAAGGAACAAAACAGGTAGAGTTCTCCTTTTTGATTCCTAAAACCAGAAAGGTTGTATTAACACATCCAAGCAAGGTATTTAACAGAATTTACAAGCTTTGAAACATTGAAGAGAATCTTAAAAGCTTTATTTGAGAACGTTGCTACAAAATTTTAAAGTTCTAAATTGTATTCCTGAATACAAAAAGATAAGCTTATTGAACATCAAATTTAAAACAAAATTGAAATCCTACAGCGTAAAATACTTTCACAGTAATAAAATAAATTAAGAAGAAATAAAAAGAAAATTAATATTTCCTAGCAGATTCAACATGGTCTAAAATTGGAATTTGTGGAAAAATAGTTCCCAAGATACAAAATTGCTTCAAAAGTGAATATCAAGAAGGAGACCAAAGTTAATATATACTACTATATTCAGAGCACTTCTGCCCTCAAACCCTCTCCCCCAAACAACACTAAGGATAGAGTCACCCAGTCCTCACATACCATCTAACAATTTCCAAATCCAACGCATTATCCTCCGCCATTTTCACCATCTGCAATCAGAACCCCACTACCAAAGAGATATTTCCTTCCTCACCCGTGTCTGCTTTCCATAGGGACCGCTCACTCCACAACTCCCTCGTCTGCCCCACACTCCCCACTGACCCTTCCACCACACCCGGCACCTTTCCCTGCTAGGAATTTCTACACCTCTGTCCAAGGACCTAAACAATCATTCTAAATCCAACGGATTCACCTGTACATTTTCTAACCTGGTCTATTGCATCCGTTGCTTCCGATCAGGTCTCCTCTACATCGGTGACCAATTCATGGAGCATCTGCACTCTGTATGCTCCAATTAACAACACTTCACAGTTGCCAGCCATTTCACCTCCCCCCTCCCACTCCCTTGGTGACACGTCCATCCTGGGCCTCCTCCACTGTCACAATGAGGCCACATGTAAACTGGAGGAACAACACCTTATATTCCGCCTCGGGAGCTTACAGGCTAATGGCCTCAACATAGAATTCACCAGCTTCAAAATCTCCCCACTCCTGGCCTCATCCCATGTCTAGCCCTCCCTCTCACCCCACCTCCTTGACCTGACACAACCTGTCCTTCTTCCTGCTGACCTATCGTGCCACCCTTCCCATTGACCAATATCTACAACTCTCCACCTGCATCCACCTATCACCATCCCACCTACCTTCCCCAGCCCTTCCCCCTCTCTCTCTTTATGTCTGAGCTCTCTTCCCCCTCCCCAGTGCTGATGAAGAGTCCCGACCTGAAACGTCGACTTTCTTGCTCCTTCGATGCTGTTTGACCTGCTGTGCTCCTCCAGCTCCACATTGTATCGATTCTGACTTCCAGTATCTGCAGTCCTTGCTATCTCCTAGTCACTACTATATTCAGTAGGCTCATTGGCTGATGATTAACTTAAAAAAAACTTAAAAAAAAATACTTTTGAACACATTATAAAAGCTTTCAATAAATCACTCCAACAGGAACAAGTAAGGCTAAATCTTCCTATATATTCGCTGAGTGTCAATTTTGGGGAATTTCGTGGAGGGTTTCCCTTCTTGATCGACGATGACACTCCTTATGCAGTTTTATGCTGTTCATCTCATTAATTCTGTATCTGGGCTCCACAATGTGCTTCACATTGAATCATGCAGTTGCAGTGGTAGAATTACTTGCCACTGCTGGGACCATATGGCATTGAAGTTGCAGGTCCCATATTTAAACCCCAGCTGTACATTAGTACCAATGTTGCAAGCCAGGAATTGCCATTCAGAGTCTATTGCTTGACTGCTATTCTGGAGGAAATGGCTGAGAAAGGAAAGTCAGTAACCCTATTTGTGGATAGAGATCTGGAAGTTGTTTTGGACAGGTTATGGAGAGAAGGGCAGTCCTCTTTCCTCAAGACCACTAAAGGAGGCCCTGGCACCAGACACTGCCAGCCTAGGTAGAGAGAACAACTTGGTTCCAGGTAATGTCCCCATTGAGAAGAAACAACAGCAATGTAGAATAAAGGTCAATCAACTCCTACACTCTGCAAAGGTGTCAGCATCTGTTCTTACTCACTCTAACTATGCCACTGCACATTAATTCCACTAAGGGTAACGGTCTACCCCATTCACAATACATGCAGCATCTTCGTTCAGTGGCTTTCACCCACTTCATCCTAACAAACTACTAAGCCTTCCTGCTCTCTGTGCTTCTTGTTCACTGACTTGGGACACCAAAATACCTTCTCAGTCATTTTCCCCTCTGTAGCCTAGCATGTTGGGTCCAATCCATGCATTTGAATGACCCACTTTCTCTAACCATAGCATGGTCTTGTACTGATAAGCCCCCTAGAAGTGTACTGCACAAACCCCCAGCACTGACTATGGACTGCCCCCTAGACTGACTGGTGAGAACAGACTCCTGGCTGATTCTGTACAGCTCCCTGATTGACTTATCTTGACTGTTTGGAATTGACCTGCAGAACTGACTTTGATCAATCTCCTGGACTGAGAACAGAAATTGCCCTTGCCCTTGCCCTTGCCCTTGGATGTAATACCGTGTCTGTCCATAGTCCTCCTTTAACCAACTATTAATCTTAGCCTTTCAGACCTAGCCATTTGGTTGAAGTACATGCAGTGTGTTTACTGTGCAAGCTCTGACATTGACATGGCATGGTACCGTATAGCAACATGTCCATTTCTTTGACTGCTCAATGCTGGCAAGCATGACAGGTTGCCCGGCTTTCTGTCTGCGAAGCTAAAGTTTGAGACAAGGCAGAACTGTTGTGATCTTTTAAGATCTGAATCAAGCTGCAATATACTAAAAGGCAAGTCAGACATGCTGTGAGAATCCAAGTAAGGGCAAAGTGTTTGAGCACTGAGAAAGCAAACTAAGAGCCATGAGATGCATCCTGTGCAAATGCATGAGATGGGACTGTGAGCCAGCATACGGAGTGAGCTGGCAGAAACAATGCAATGTAGGCTGTCAGTGAGCTCCAAGGTGCAGTAGTGAAGTGGTGAAGTGTCTTCTGAGGTAGTCTGGCTGGCATATTGCTTCTGCCGACTTTGGTGGATGGAGAGAGGAGCTGGTTACATTCCACAGAGCCTACCATCAAATGTTGGGGAATGATAGCCAACATGGAGTCCTGGGGAGAATACAACAGCGAGCTACAACTCCCAGGTAACCACTCCAACTTTCAGATCAGGAATTGGCAACATCTAGTTTCTCACAAGTACCTGGAAGAATTGCAAACTGCATACAAATGAAGTAAGATTAGCTGCTAATGAATGCAGATAGGCTCCTCGCCACTTCTCATCCATCCATTGAAACCTTAAGGGGAAGTTAGACTTATTTTCAACATCACAAATCTCATTTCTTCATTCTCCCAAATTTTCAACATTGCCCATGCCGCTCAATGGCTGGGAAGATCCACCAGTAGAATTCTTGAATGGGCAAAATGGAACAGGAGAGTTTAATGTTCAGGAATCTACAGACAAGTTCAATGATGACCTCTATGATTTGTTGAAACTTGTGAATATGGAGTCTTTCATTCAAAATTCAGAGGAGGCAGAATTGTTGTAGGAATTTCTGCTCGGTCCTTATCAGAGCTTTTATATTCCAGGCAGATTTAATTTTGGAAAAGCTATCTAAATCATCTTGGTTGTGAAAGCAGGAAATATCACAAACTCTAAGAGGAGAAGGACACAGAAACAAATGAATTAGGAGCAGGAGTTGGCCCTTCAACCTGGTCTAACCTTTTAATAAGGTCTTTGTTCAGATCATGATCTGATTGTAACCTCTACTTCATATTACCTCTTACCTTGATATCCTTTAACTCACGTTCTAACCAAAAGGTTATCCCTCCTACCTTAAAAGCATCCAAAGACTCTTCTTCACTGCCTTTTGAGGAAGAGAGTTCCAAAGACTCGTGACCATCTAAAAGAAAATAAATGCTTGTCATTTCTGTCTTAAGTGGGCTACCCTTTACATTTATTCATGATCTCTCATCCTAGTCTCTCCCACAAAAGCAATCATTCTTTCCACATTCACAGTGTCAAAATCCCTCAGGATTGTACTTGTTTCAATTAAATTGGCTCTTACTTTTCTAAACTCCAGCATCTACAAGCCTAGTCTATCCAACTTTTCTTCATAAGATAACCCGCCCATTCTAGGTATCCATCTGGGAAACTTCATACTGCAGATGATACTCCGTATTTAATCTCAACAGGGCTCTGTATAACAGAAACAATAAACAATACCGTTCCCTTAGCTTTCGTAATTACAGCAAAGTAAATTCTTGAGATTCATGCACTAGAATACCCAGATCCCTGTACATCTAACAGTTCTGCAATCTTTCACCATTTAGATTAAATTCATCTTTTTTTATTCTGCCTGCTAAAATTGATAATTTCACATTTCTCCATTATATTCCATTCCCAGATCTTTGCTCACTCACGTAAATCTATCTGTAACCCTTTGTAGCCTCCTTATATCCTCTTCACAACATAATTTTCTACCTATATTAATGTCATCAGCATTATTTAGCAACCATACCCTCAGTCCCTTCATCCAATTTATTTATGTAAATTGTAAAAAAAATTGAGACCCCAACATTGATACCTGTGACACGCCATTCATTGCATCTTGAGAAAAAAAATTGCCTATTCTGTTTCCTGTTAGCTAACCAAGTTTGCATTCATGACAATAATGTTATACCCTAAACCATGAGAGATTGAAGAGAATTTTGAGATGGACATGAGGATTATTTTTCAGTCAGAGTTTGTGCAGCTTCGGAATGCTGTCTTAGAAAGTGAGGCCATCAAATTTTTTAAGGGAGTTGAAGATAGACTAGAGTCATAGAGTTGTACAGCATGGAAACAGACCCTTTGATCCAACTCGTCCATGCCAACCAGATATCCTAAATTAATCTATTTACCAGCATTTGGCCTGTAAAATTCCTTTAAACCCTTCCTATTCATATACCCATCCAGATGCCTTTTAAACGTTGTAGTTGTACCAGCCTCCCCGACTTCCTCTGGCAGCTCATTCCATACATGCACCACCCTCTGCCTGAGAAAGCTGTCCATTGGGTCCCTTTTATATCTTTCCTCTCTCACCTTAAAACTATGTCCTTTAGTTTTGAACTCCCCTACCCTGGGAAAAAGACTTGGCTATTCACCCTGTCCATGCCCCTCATGTTTTTATAAGGTCACCGCTCAACCTCCGATGCTTCTTGTTAGGCAAAGAAATCAAAGGTTATCGGATGTAGATGGGTATGTGGAATTTAAAAACTTACAAGGCAGCCATGATCTAATTTAATGATGGAACAAGCTCAAGGGACCAAATGGCCCATTTCTGTTCCTGATTTGTATGTTTGCATGTTCATGTTACCATAGATGAGCCTCTACTCTTCATTCTTTGATCTGGCTTCCATGCACATCTCCCAAGGAAAAGAACATCAAAACAGGTAATAAGAAAATGCAAACACAAAATGAAGCTGCATTTCATAGTATTGCCAACAGTTTGCAGTAGGATTGATTTGACCATCGGTATTATATTGTATGGACGCCAAAGTTGGAGGGATTTTTTTTTGATGTTTTTCAACAAATTAAACTGACTTTTTAAATACTTTCTGTGCAGACGTAGTTCGGTGACTAAACTCAGCAGAAATTGATAACTTTTTAGCATAAAAAACATGATGAAATATTGATGAATCTTGACTTCAAGCTTGCTGTGCTGTATGCAGTTGTCAGAAACTACACATCAATTTTTTGTTAGATAATGGATCAAGGCATTAAACTGACATCATCTCTCTACTAACGGGCACGTGGGACCAACTTCTTCAAATGAGAGCTGACAGCTCATTTCTCTCAGTGAATGGCTGTTCCGTTAGTTGCCTTACTGCTGGTTTAGCTGCATTGGTTTCACTTTTCTCCAACAGACTTTGAATTCTCAAGAACTTGTTTATCCCTGTAATATTTTGTCTTTCTTATAATGGTATATAGTTGTAAGGGTGTCAATTGTCATTCTGGTAATCACTCAAAAATCCATTCTATATGTATGAGTCTGGCATTGTCATTCTTGAGAAGAGAGTCACCACTCCGTGAGCGAAGGATCTTTCCTCTTTAGATGGCCCTAGTAGCTACAAAAAAAATTTTATGTCATGATGGTCAGTGTGTTGTTGGATCTCGGAGATAGCAAGAACCGCAGATGCTGGAGTCAGAGTCGATACAGTGTGGAGTTGGAGAAACACAGCAAGTCAGGTAGGAGAGTCGATGTTTCAGGCCTACACCTTTCATCAGGACTGCTCTCGACTCTCCTACTCTTCTGATGCTGACCTGCTGCGTTCATCCAGCTCTACACTGTACCCATGTTGTTAGATCTTTAAATTTCTCTTCCCACCACCAGTTTTTTTTACTAAAGTGAGGAGTGATTAAAGCAAAAGTAGACAGGAAACAGCTACTTGCAGGTCAGTCAATGTTAGAGCATTGGGATGTATTCGAAGAGGAGATTCAAGGGGTCAAAGCAAAGAGAAAGGTTGGGACAGCCAAATCTAAAGTGCCCCAGATGTCAAGCAGCTTACAGTATATATTAAGGCAGAAAAGGAATGCTTATGTCGACACCAAGAACTCAATACTATCAAAAGCCTGGAGGAGTATAGAAAGTGCAGGACATCTAAAAGTTAATGAGGAAAGTAGAGGGAGAGGGCAGGAAAGAATATTGGCAAAAAATTAAAAGAAAGCAGAACCCAAAGATCAATTCTTTATTCTTAAGAATAAGTTCGTAAGCGAGGAAAGAGATGGACTCATAAAAGATTTTTAAAAAGGTATCCCATGTGTAGAGTCAGAAGATGTGGGCATGGTCATTAATGAATACGTTGTGTTCAAAAAGAAGGTGACAATGAAGGCATTGGAGTTAAGGAGGAGGAGTGTGAGATATTGCATTTGATAAACAAAGGGAGAGAGGAAATATTCAGGGGTAAGTATCCTTGAAAGGGAATAAATCATTGGGGTTGATTGAAGCACACTGTTAAAAGAAGGCAGGGAGAAAATAGAGATGTTGCGACCATCATTTTCCAACCCACACTGGATACAGATGGGTGCCAGAGGACTGGAGGACTGCTAGCAACAAATACCAATAATCGTATGCGTATGTGAATTTTGAAAGCTTTAAAGGTTTGGCAAAGATCTGTAGCTTGGGTTGTGGGTGATGAAGTTGACTTGCTTGCTGAGCTGCTCAGACGTTTTGTCACCGTGATAGGTGACATCATCAGTGGAGCCTCCGATGAAGCGATGTTATTCTACTCTTCTTGAAATTTATACTGTTTGGTCCGCTATGGTGAGGACTATCATTTCTGGTTTTGATCTGTATGGGTTTGTATATGGAGTCCAATTCAATGTTTGTTGATTGCATTACGGGTGGAAAACCATGGCCCTAGGAATTCCCGTGCATATCTATGTTTGGCTTGGGCTACTATGGTTACCTTGTCCCAGTTAAACTGATGGCCTTTATTGTCTGCATGTACTGATATTAAGGAGAGTTCCTTCCAAAGGAAACTAGCCATCAGAATACATGAGCATCAACTAGCAGCAAAACAGCATGACGAACTGTCCTTAATATTGGTACATTCAGGATTATGAGACACATAGATAGGATGGATAGGAGGGCACTTTTCCATTAGTAGAGGGGTCAATTGATTTAAAGTTAGAGTTTGAAGGCTAAGAGGAGAATAGAGGAGATTTTTTTCAACTGGAGGATGGTGGGAGTCTGGAAGTCACTGCCTGAAAAAGTGATTGAATCAGAAATCTTGTAACATTTCAAGTAGTACTTATATATTCACTTGTGTTACCATAGCCAAGAGCTGGAAAATTGGAATAGTATAGTCAGATCTTTCTTGACCAGTGTAGAACCCACTCTATTCCCTCTGCAGCCTGATTCCATTCCATCTTAGATGTGGCACCTCCCTGCCACAGGCCTGACCCCTTCCCAAATCAGTAACCCTCTTCCCCTGCTAGCCTGATAGCTCCTGGTAAACGATCAACCCCTCCCTCCCCACTGCCAGCCTGACCACACTACCCACCACGCCTGTTGCTGGCCTGACTCCCCTGAACCCAATACACCCCCTACCTCTACTCCACTCTGCTCCTCCCTTCCCCTCCCCTCACCACTGTCCTCTAGCTGCTCTCTTAACTCATCTTCTGAGATACCTGGCTCCTGCCCAGCATTGTCAAGTGTGAGACAGTATATGTGTGGAAGTGGTTAGGTAAATATTTTTGTAGCTTTAGGGAGGAAGGAGAACATTGATGGAGAATAATGTTGGGTTCAGAGAATATGATGACGCAACATTGCACGAGGTACGGGATGTGTGGTTGCAATGAATGCCTATGGGTCTGGAACATGCCTGTCTTTAGACACTTAAGTTCACTTCACTTGATATAAACAAATGGCTGAAGATATTGGATACAAGGACTATGGACTCTGACAGCATCCTGGCTGTAGTATGGAAGACCTGTGCTCCAAAAATAACTATGTCCTTAGCCAAGTTGTACAGCTGCAATGCAGACATTTACCTGACAGTGTGGAAAATTACCTAGTTATGTCCATTCCACAAAAATCAGAATAAATCCAATTCAATTAATTATCATCTAATCAGTTTACTCTCAATCATCAGTAAAGTGATGAGGAAGTCATTGACAGTGTTATCAAATGATACCTAATCAGTAATAAACTGCTGACTCATTCTCAGTTTGGGTTCTGCCTTTGTTCAAATACGGACAAAAGAGCTGCTGCCTTCCATTTTGTTTGGCCTTTACATGACACCAATTCTCCAACAGATTGTAATAGTTAATGCTCTCTGAGAAGCCTGCCAGTTGTAAAAAGCCTCACTTTCTTAATCTCGCGCAATGGGGGAAGTGGGCAAGAACAATCGACATCATGGACAAATCAAAAGATGGCTGCTAGTTTTTCACAACAGTGACTGCATTTTAAAATAAATCATGGGCAATGACGTGCTTTTGATACATCATGGGAATGCGGTAGACACCGTATAAATACAAATTCCTTGTGTTTTTAGTGTTCCATAAATTTTAACTGGCAAGTTGAGGTGGAGAATAGACAAGTGGGCCATAATAGGGGCATGGTGCATGGGTAATACGGCGAGAATGGGACAGTAGTGTAAAAAAACACATTAGGTTGCATGTGGAGATACCCTTCTTGCAAGTCACCAAAATGACACTCAGCCGATTTCGGGAAGGATTCAGCCCAAAACGATTAAACCTTAGGTTTATTGCATTATTTTCTATTTGAGAGATGGAAGAATGAGCAATGGGATTTGATGCAAAACAGAAAAGGGAGAGCAGAGTTTAAAGGAGCTGAAATTTATAGAACCTACAGCACCTTTAGATGCTTCAATTCACTTCACATGACATTGACAAATGACTGAAGGCGGTGGATACACAAGGACTATGGGCTCCAGTAGCGTCCTGACCCTAGTATGAAAGACTTGTGCTCCAAAAATAGCTATACCCAAAACTAGCTACAGCAAAACATCTCAAGGTGCTTCACAGGAGCATTAACAAATAAAATTTGACACCAAGTGATATAAGGAGATACCAGGACAGGTGACTAAAGTCTTGAAGAAAGAAGAATGTTTTAAGTAGTGTCTTACATAGACATTAAGCCTGGGAGGCTGACAAGGAGTGAATTGGAGCAACTGTGTGTTTCATTTCAGCCTTTTCAGGTCAGTATTTGTCCTTTTCAAAATCATTTTCAATTCATGAAAGTTCTCGTGTATTGAACCAGATGATTGGAGTTGAATATTGATCATCCAATTTTACTATGATCGTAACAGACAGCAGATGCAGAGAACCATGATGTAACCAGGGATGATGATAAAGGCATTTGGGATGTTGTGGATAAAGTATGATTGTATGAAACTATTGCATAACAGATCCTTCAGACTGTTCTCCCAACCTGAATACAAGTTATCAGGTATTAATGAGGACAACTTTGTAGATTGACCGAGCTGACTTTTCTTATGTCTTATGTGACATCTGTATAGCTCAAATTGTTTACAGCTTGCTAGTCCACATCTGAGGGCATTAACAGTCAACCTCATAGCATAGACACATGCCAGCTAGATCAGGTAGAGGTGGCTTTCTCTGAAGAAATGAGTGAACTGTATTTTAAACCACTACCATCTCACAAATTCTTGGTATTATTAGTTTCAAATTCACTACTTGATGGAATTTAAAGTTGAGCCCAGTAATGATCAGAGACCTGCCTATATCATAAATAGTTCACACTGTACCAGCAATATTCAGTTGTTCAACTGATCGGTGGTTGATTAATCATATTTGTTGAGACTTTGGAATCTGGTGTGTCACCTCTGCAGATGTCTGAGACTTAAAACACAATACCCTTTTTACAAATAGTAGGCAATTATCTTACAAAATAAATGAGTCCC